CTACTTAAATAAGTACATCAATGTGAAGAAAGGGGGGATTGCTGGTATTTCTATGGCGCTTTTTGGTTATGTTGTTATCAGCTACATTTGGAACTATGAGCATTTGAGTAAGTAAATTCTTAACTTTTTATTGTTGGACACATTCATGTAGTCTATATAACTATTTGGGAGGAATTTTATTTCAAACTTATTGAAAGAGGAAGCACAGTGAGAGATTTTTTTTTAACTTCATGGGAGAATAAACCAACGTACATACTAGCAGATTGAGCATGGGACTAGGAATTGGTAGACTCTGCTGTTTTTGACCTTCACTTATAACTAACCTATGTAGCAAGTGGGTATAATGCTTACCTGTCAGAAATTGTGAAGATGAATTAGCTGTTTGTGAATTAATTGCTGAATATTACTTTGCTAGCAGTGAACAATGATTACTTCACAGCTCTTATTGTCTGACAGTACTCAAATTGCCTGCTGTGTAGTTCAATCTTAGACTGTGCTTTAAATACCTAAGTGCTAAAAATGGTCTTCATGACTTCATCATACTGACTTGTTTTAATTTAAATGATGCAGAGCATGATCGTTGGCGGAAGTATCATTGAAATATTAACTGCAGCAAGTTGCAGCCCTGGACCTGGAATCAGCTGCTGGAACAACTTTCCCCGATGAAGGCTCATGAGCCGCTCACACCAAATTCTGTACTGTTGTAATTCCAGGCAGATTCTATGACCAATAAAATATGTACATTTAAGGTTGGTTTATGTAGCTAATATTAATATTGTGTGAGTTGCACTTTCTGGTGTTGAAATGTGGGGGTGTCTGCTCTTTTCCCCTTTGTATGGTAGATACAATTAAGATGGTTGGAAAGGTTTTTTTGTCTTTTAATAAATTGGTTTAATGTACAGTGCAAATGATTAAGGATAATCACACAGACTGATTAATCATTATGGCTGTGTCTACATTGCACACTTTTTGCACAAGAACAGCTGTCTACACTGCACACGTGTTCTTTCGCAAGTAAACTTACAGTATAGCATTGGAAAACAGGACTTCTTCCGGAAGAGTTATTCCTCTCCCCACGGGAGCTGTTCCACTAGAGGGCAGTGTAGACAGGCAACATGAATTTCTTGCACAAGAAGCTCCTACGATTAAAATGGTCATCAGAGCTTTTTTGCACGAGAGCGTCCACACTGCCATGGATGCTCTTGCGCAAAAGCACATGGTAGTGTGGACGCTCTCTTGTGGAAGACTTTTTGTACAAGAACTCTTCCATAAAACTGTTCTTGTGCAAAAAGCCTGCAGTATACATGTAGCCTAGGGCTGTGTCTAGACTGGCATGATTTTGCGGAAATACTTTTAACGGAAAAGTTTTTCTGTTAAGTATTTCCGCAAAAGCGCGTCTAGATTGGTACGGATGCTTTTGTGCAGAAAGTGCTTTTGTGCAAAAGCATCCATGGCAAGTCTAGATGCGATTTTGCAGAAGAAAGCCCTGATCGCCATTTAGCCATCCGGGCTTTTTTGCGCAAAACAGTTCTTCCCTGTCTACACTGGTCCTCTTGCGCAAGTATTCTTGCGCAAGAGAGCTTTTTCCCGAGCGGGAGCGTGAAAGTATTTGCGCAAGAAGCACTGATTTTGTACATTATAAAGTCAGTGCTCTTGCACAAATTCAAGCGGCTAGTATAGACAGCTGACAAGTTTTTGCGCAAAAGCATTGTGCAAAATCTTGCCAGTCTAGATTCACTCTAGCTGTTTTACTAAGTATTACCACTACATAGGGTACTTTTACTTTAATAATCTCTTCAACCAAACTGGAGCAAAAATTGGTGCAAATATTACCGGTCAGAACTTGTTTTAATAAATCTTATTGTGACTGGAGCAAAGGAGAATACTTGTTTTAAGTTGCCAACAAGCACTTTATAATGGCCACAGATGCCTAAAACCGTAGTTGTCTCCTACAGAACAAAGTTTCTCTGGTAGAGAACCACTTACACCCCTTTTATTCTGTACTGGTTTGCTAAGAGTTCTGGTTGTCTTCAGGGTATGGTGCCAGGCAGTTCCTGACACTGGTCCTAAAAGACTTCCATTAATTTTTGTGTAAAGCTGCTTGCCAAAGTGGTGGTAAAGGCAAAATTAAAGCAAATTAGCAGCCCATGTTTGACAGGGAATGTGACATTATTCTAAGGCAAGCTGGGGATATAACAGTGTATCAATTAAGCAATATCAGAGACAGGGCAACAGATCTGTGACAGGAGCTGGTTTTTAAACTGGCTCCCCTTGCAGACTAGCTACCACCTGGCACCCTATGCTGCTGTCTTGATTGTAGAGCTGGATTGCACTGGCTGCCAGCCCCGCCCCTAAGGACTATAGAATAGTTGAGTAACTGATAAGAATTCATGAGGTTAACCAACTACTCAGGTAACCAATATTTAACATCCCTTTAGGGCTAGCAGCTATGCTAGAAGGTATTTAAGTGGGGGAGGTATGAAACTTTGACACCAGCAAAGCCTTGTTTGCCATCTGATTTCCCAACATCATGGTAAAAGTCTAAGCCAATGGAGAATACAGATGTCACTTAAAAAAGCACATCTTCAACATAGTCAAGGTCACCTAGACTAACCCACATCAGCAAATAATGTCATTGTGTTCAGAATGGTGCAGTGCTTTATGGATTAATTACAAGAGGTTGTTTGTCTAAAGTTCAACCTGATATAGGATAGCTATTCATGAGGCACAAAGACCTCTGCCTATTATGAACATGGTTAGAATAAAGGGTTTTGGTGGAGGATGGAAGGGGAGTACTTGTGTTTGTTATGCTAAAGATATAATTGTCTGGCTTGCAAAAATTTACTTACATGTGCATTTTATGCAAAAAGCCAGAATAAGTAGTACCCTAGCCAGCTACTTTCCACTGGCAGATTTAATTTTAACCTTTAAAGCTGAATGTCCCACTGTGTACTAGAAGGTTTCAGTAGCCAGGGCTCAACAAATCAGTGTATCTACTCGCCCATGGCAAGATTTCAGCTGGTTTACCAGCAGCACACGCAGTGTGGGCCTGGCGAGTAGATTTCACCATGGTTTGTCAAGCCCTGTCAGTAACTATAGCTTCATTTACAAATAACTTTTTTTTAAAGAAGTCAACTCCAGTAGTCCCATATAGTCATTGAAACCATCATAGGAACCTCTCTTGCTAGGCATACCTTACCTTTTTCTTGAAAAAAAAAATCTCAACATTCACAGCTGACTTTAAAGGGGGAGAATGCATAAAGGCAGATAAGCCAATGTAGAAAGATGCATGTGGGGCAGCTGCACGAGTTGGGCTTTTAAATTTATCACTGACCCCCTTAAAAAAAGGATGGTGTTTTGACTTGTAAAAACATGCTCTTAAAAGGATACTCTGACAGTCCAACATCAAGCAAATAGTTCCACTTATCTTTTGATAGCCTGTGAACATTCATGCAATTTGACTGCTTATGGGAATGCCTCACTATAGTTCAGAGTTTACTAATTTTCTCAGTTATATCCATGAACTTACACTCTCAAAGCCATTTCAGCGTTGAATCCAGAGTTGCTGAGGTGAGATTGGATCTACCTCTCTTCTATAGTCAAGACATTTGTGATTTCAGCTAAACACAATCATTTTCATATACAAGCATAAACTTCTCAACCTGCAGGGGGAAAATGCTACCAGCCAAAGCATACAAACTTTTATTGCAGTTGGACAAATACTTTACATCTTGGTACACATGACATGTTATGTGAACCATAAGAGATCATGGAACTTCCTTTCAAGAGTTGCATGACAAGCTCCCTCACTGAAGTTTTCAAGTACTAGTTCTTCTGGTCTGTCTTCATCCTTGAGCAAGGATTGCTGAAAGGTTGGAGGCTTCCAAAGGCCATTCATTATGGAAACACATTGGAGCAAGATGTGTATTATGCTGACTGTTGTGTTGGTGAAGGCTTGCACATCTATTTACCTTTAGATCTGCCTCCCAGCTAGGCTCAGTGAAAGAAGGCAGAGGCCAAGATCTATTTTAAAATGTTAAAACATAAAAAATTGGACAGTTACAAAAATGTTTATCAGCAGCCAGCCTCTGGCCACAGTTCTTTCACTAATGGCGATAAAAAAAACAACCTGATCAATAGTTCAAGAAATAGTGCTAGGTGGAAACCTTTCCCCAGTATAAAGAACCTCCTTGCACTTTCCTCTTTTTCTGCTGTCTCACTGTCCAATGAGAAAGGCCAGATGTCCTTTAGTGCATCTATTGGCATAATGTCCTTTTTCACCACACTAGGAGAGAGAAAAAAGGTGAGAAAAGTTATTTGGATTTCCCCAAAACTGTCTTTAATAAATCAACTATCAAGTAGTTTGGAAGTGATGCCATTTTTACACAAGAGAGTTTAACACTATACTATAAGGCTACGTCTACACTGGCCCCTTTTCCGGAAGGGGCATGTAAATTTCACCAGTCGTCGTAGGGAAATCCGCGGGGGATTTAAATATCCCCCGCGGCATTTAAATAAAAATGCCCGCCGCTTTTTTCCGGCTTTTAAAAAAGCCGGAAAAGAACGTCTAGACTGGCCCCGATCCTCCGGAAAAAGCGCCCTTTTCCGGAGGCCCTCAGGAAAAAGCGCCCTTTTCTGGAGGCTCTTATTCCTACTTTGAAGGCTCTTATTCCTTTGAAGTAGGAATAAGAGCCTCCGGAAAAGGGCGCTTTTTCCGGAGGATCGGGGCCAGTGTAGACGCTCTTTTCCGGCTTTTTTAAAAGCCGGAAAAAAGCGGCGGACATTTTTATTTAAATGCCGCGGGGGATATTTAAATCCCCCGCGGATTTCCCTACGACGACTGGTGAAATTTACATGCCCCTTCCGGAAAAGGGGCCAGTGTAGACGTAGCCTAAATGATTCTTGCTACTGGCCCTTTTGGGGCCATTTGACTTTTAGGACCAGAACTTGCCTGCCACTATAACCTGAAAACCCAGGTTTCATTTGAACACTGGGAATCTTGGCCCTAACTTTTGGAAAGGGCTGCAACAGAGACACTCAAAGCCCTGAAGAAATTTAACTACATTGCTGTGCAGTAGAGGAAGGATTTTTTCTGCTATATTTCAGCACCTGCTATATTTCTCAAGGATGCTGCTCTGACCAATATGCATAAAGATCATAGAGCAGGGGTCAGAACCTTTCAGAAGTGGGGCACAGATTTAGTTACTTCTATTTACTGGTCTGCATGTCCTTGATACTTTCAAGTCAATAATAGTCCTATTTACAGTAGCTTCATTAATAAATTAAGATGCTGATCTTACACCATTAACACCTATGTAAACTTTGTTTGAAATGTAATCATGCAAATGTCCTCAAAGCACACACACACACACACACCATGCAGCCTGCTTTTCTCCCTCACTCCAACCCAGCCAGAGAGGACTGCAATCAAAAAAATGTCAGACACCACAAACTGTCCCCAGCTTTCACTGCAGATGCCAGCACTCACCCACCCTCTTTCCTCCCCTCTTATCCCTGTGCAATCTGCTCCCCCCAGCCCAGGTGGGGGCTGGAAAAAAATCCTGCTTTTCAAAGTAGCAGGCACTAGCAGTCTGTCCTGTCCTAACTCCCAGCTAAAGCACAAATTATCCACATCTCTCCCACCATGCAGCACAAACAACCTGCCTCCACCTCACCCAAATGTCCACACCCACCCATCCCCTCTCTTTCCCCACAGAGGCTTGAGAAGGCTGGGTTTCTGCCTCTCCCCCATGGACAAGGGATTCTCCAAACTCCCCTCCCCTCTGGCTCCCCCATCCACTCCCTCACTTCTCCCATCCCACCCCCACAGCCACTTAGGCTATGTCTACACTGCAAGCCTCTTGCGGATGAGCAAATGCAAATGGAGCACTCATTTGCATATGCAGCACTTCATTTGAATTTCCTCTGCGCAAAACCTCCCTTTTGCACAAGAGCCATTCTTCCCCATTTTTTGAGGAAGAATGATGCTTGCACAAAGGGGGGGAGGGGTTTGCGCAAAAAGGCACCATCTATACATCACTTTTTTGCACAAAAATCTCTGGAGCAAAAGGGAAAGGAAGAGGAAATGCAAATGAGATCCCTGCATATGCAAATGAGCACTCCATTTGCATTTGCTCTTCCGCAAGAGGCTTGCAGCATAAATGTAGCCTTATTCTCTCCTTATATTGCTTTTTATTACCTACTCTGGGAGCTGCACGCTCTGTTCAGCTACTCAGCAAGACAATGCCCCACCAATCAGCTGAACTCCCTGCCTGCGGGGGAGATTTGAACTTCTGAGTGGAGCTCAGAAAACAGCTGCATGAGGGAGCAGGGACAGAGCTGAGTTCCCGTCCTGTGTGCCACTGAAAAATGGCTCACATGCCACGTGCCATAGGTTGCCAACCCTGGCTATAGAATTAGATATGGGTCAATCACCCTAGATTACAAGGGTAAAACTCCATCTGAACAAAAGATGCTTTCTATATTCCAAAAGCGCCTTCTAAGCGGTGAAGTTATGACACACAGTAGTCTGACCCTCTTACTTTCTCCAGTTGTGGAATTTATTTGAGTTATTTGTTTAAATTCTAGCTTGATAGTTCTTTTACCAATGACTATGCAGACAGATTGCTTAGCCTTGAGTCGGGTAGTGACTTTTCAGTGTCCCAGCTGCAGAAACATGAAAAATTCATGTACAGATAATAAAACCAAACAAATGTGTGACAAGAGCTAAGGGGTAACTAATTTAAATCAAAACATCCTTTATTTTCCAATAAAAATCTGATTAGTCACAATAAATGTCAAGTTATAGAAGATAAAGATGGAATCTGAGTCCCATGACAGTCTTAGTTGTATGTTCGGATTATTAAGTGACTTGGTTCATTATTATTACTAGCTCGCATCTTGGCCCAATCCCTTAAAAAGAGTAGCTATGAAGATCCTTTACTACCTAGAGTAACATTTGGGGATTTTTCTGCAAAATGTTAATAAAAATTGATGTTTCAATTTAACTGAGGAGCTGCCTGTACTACTAAGAAATATGGGTTTGATGTCTGCTCCTGCCAAACTGAGGAACAAATGTGTGCTGTGCCAGAAACACCTTCAGCCTTTCTGGATTTGACTGCATTGTGTATAGACACTTTCCCCTGCTTTTTTATGGTTTTTTCACACAGCAACAGGGGATAAACCTTTTTAAAAATAGTAAAATGGAAGGATGAAAAGTCAGGGCAGGGGTAGCACCTGAAACTACTTTTAACAGGGGTTTGAAAGGGACTCGATTTCAGGTTGACAATGTCCTTTTAACTGCCATCAGTGGGATTTTCTGTGATTAGCAAGTAGACTCAGTCCATCAAATCATTTCATATAGACCACTGAAGAGCCATCTGATGATCATTGCCAAGCCACAGACTAGATAACTTCCTGATTCCAGCTGCACCCAAGACCCCAAATACATGTCTAATGACCAGTGCACATATTTAAATACTTTTCTTTACAATGTCAATGCTTCTCCATGGGCTTTGCTGCCCCACCCACTCAACCACCTATTCCTTTTACTGCAATCTGCACCAAATTGAAAAAACTGATGTGACAGGTGACTAGCAGCACAAAGGATGCACTAGTCAGTGTAGGTGACTTTTACTTTGCATTTTTCAAATGCAAACATCCTCAGAAAGTTACCTTGTAACATGTGACCTGCTCCAACGGCCGAGGACCTCTGTTCCCTACGTTGTTGCTTTGAGACTGCATAACTCCAATGACTTGTGGGGTCCTCTGCTGGTTGGGAGAAGAGTTCTGACTCGTTAACTGGATCAAGGATGATGACCTTTGTAATGGCGGATTGTTATTTTGCTGGGAGGGAAGAGAACACCCCATACGTTGAATGATAACTTTCTAAATAAATTCAGAGGAAAATTTATCTGCTGGCCCAAGCACCAGAGATGAAAGCTCTGAAACACTAAGGAATACAAGGTTTGACCTAGCAACCAAGTCTTCCCTCACAAAACAGATCTACAGAGCTGGGCTAGGCTGCCAAGTATGTCTTTTATAGCTCCCGTGATGGATGTCAAGCAGATTTTTTTTAAATCTGGCAAATGGTTGCTTGGAATAAAGAAAACACAGATGTATATGATATACTATGTAATATGGTAGTGCTCCGTGACCAGGGGCTTACACTGCAATATATGCGTGATCTTAGGACTTGTGCTTGTCAGTGTAGCAGAGCTCAGGTACACTGCTTAATGTTTACACAGTGCCCACCTTCCAGACAGTCCCGGAACAGAACTGTCACTACAGGCCACGCATTTGCCCTCTCAGCTGAAGGAAGGTGGCAGCAGCAGAATGGTGACTGTGGAAGAGGGAAATCATGGGTTTAGTTAGAAGAAAAAAAAAAAAAACCAACCCCAGAATGAGGAAGGCAGCAATTGTGATCAGATGCCAGGAGTAAGAGGAAAAGGATAATACTTTGCATTTTTATGGTGGATTTTCTCCAATGATCTCAAAGTTCTTCACAAACTTTTGGTCAAGTTTCAATACGCCTGTGAAATAGGAAAGGATTATCCCCATTTTACACATTTGTCTGAGAGTACATAATGAGAAGGATAAGAGTCCTGATGGCTTGTTCCTGTTCTAATCATTACCTTGCAGACCCCCTTTAAAAACAAAGTCAAGTTTGTTTGTAATGTAATCAAGCTGTGCTTTCAATGCGTTGTCTGTGGGAGAGGCAGTTGCATACCTTTTGCTGTGGCTGTGTCGGCTGAGGCAGTGGTGGTTGCTCTGTGGTTCCCATAGGCAGTTCAAATCGGGGACTGGTTTATAAACACACAAAAAGAAAGACCCACACAGTGAATTGATATTCAAACCCAAAATTGGAATATACCACCAGCACAACACTGAACTAGCTACTTAAGAGACCAAAAGGGAGCAAAGCAAACCTTTAGTTATTTAAACTGTGCTTCACAAAAAGTGGAGTTTCTCTGCTATGTTCTGCTGCTTAGTCATTATCAACTAAAGTGGCTCAGGATATAGAGATGCTACAGAGTATGTCTGTATGCATCTGTGATGCATTCTGGGATATAGTCATCAAATCTGCCACTATCCTCCCGGAGACTTGTGTGTAAATATCTAAATAGCCATGTGCCTCCTGTGACGTAGTGGGGGTGTTGTCTGCTCTGTAACCCAGTGTCCCCCTGCGCTGTGATATGTGATTCCCACTGACTCACCCACATGTGTATTGGCCCAGACACCTAGGTCCAGCTTCAGCAGTTAACAAGTCTCTTCCCAGAGGGACAGACAAAGGAAGGGAGGCGGAGACAAACACCTGGCTGGGGGCAGGGGCTGGGAGCAAAGCAGTCTGGGGCTGGAACCATGAAGAGAACAGACTAAGGAGGGGCTGGAATCCAGGGACCCCATCTCAAGGGGTCTGAGGCATCCTGGCCCAGACTCCTGTAGACACATCATGTCTATGCTGTGCTGTATCCTGGAGAAGCATTCTACTGGCTGGTGGAGTCTGTTCTTGCTGCTAGGGGCTGCAGGATTGGAGGAACCCTGACGTGTTGTCACACCTCCTTAATCTGATATTTGGAAAATGCAATGCAATATAATAAATATCCTTATCATTTTTGGCCACTGAATGAACTGACTCATACTCAAGAATTAAAAAACAACAGCTATGAAACAAAACAGCTGCGTGACTGATAACATTCATTCCAACTGTTATGCTAAGAGGACAAGATCAAAGATTATTAACTAAGCTGCTTTGTACAAGTTGTATTGACCATGTAAGCACCAAGTGACACTTCCAATATCTTCTTGGAAACACTGGTTTGATTTGCCCAATCCTTTTTGGTCATCCTGATTACAAATTGATTTTCACATTTAAGAGGCAAACTCAAATATGAGCAAAACTTTAGCTATATGGTACAGTACAATTATTACATCAGTGCTGCAAATGTTACACACTGATGGGGGCAATATACCGTAAATTAGCGTGTATAACCCGAACCCGTGCATAACCCACAGTTTTTCTTAAATATGTAAAAAAAGTCTTAGATAACCCGTGCACTTGTATAGCCCACGGGTTGTATACGCGACTTTAAGGTACCTAGTAATTGCACATACCAGCCGCAGCCTCTGGGAAGAGGGAACGGAGAGCGCAGCGCAGGTGAGCTGGCTGGCCTGCAGGAGGGGAGCCACACTTGCGCCCAGGGAGCCGCACTTGCGCCCAGGCTCCAAGCAGCTGCAGCCAGGCGCAACCCACACTCCTCTGGGAGGGAGGGAATGGAGAGTGCAGCGCAGGCGAACTGGCCAGCCTGCAGGAGGGGAGCCGCAGTCGCACCCAGACAAGTACAAATAAACTTGTATACCTCGTGGCCATGTATACCCCATGCGGGGGTTGCAGGGTTTGTAAAACTTTGCATAACCTGCGGGGTTATATGCGCTAAAACACAGTAGGTAAGATAGACCTGATGTGTAACTGATCAGAGAGGAAATTGAAGATGACAGAATAGGCCTAGAAGATACTCACTGCATGAATTTACAAGCGGGCCCCTCGGGACAGAATCCCACCAGGTAATTCACACAAATGACTCTTCGAGTGTGTCTGTGTCTGCAGAGGGGACCTACAAAATAAAACTTCGCAAATCACATATATTACATACATACCCCAGTATTCGCCAGTTGCAAATATGGGAGGTGGATTACAGTAAGTGATAATCATACAAAAAGTAATAGCTTAGCCTCATTTTTATAGACACAAAAGCAGCAGCTAATGACTATACGTACCATGTTTACAGAAGCCTCTGTCATACCAGGGGCAATCTTTGATCTTAGACTCCGGATCAATGTGCAAGAATGGACATTCTTTGTTACTGCACTCCCCTGTACCAAAGCCAAATGCACTCATCAGGAAACAGCAAATACATGAGTCAGAACCCCCTCCAAAAATAATGCTTACATCATCTAGTCCTAGCAAAGGTGTCATGAATATTTCTAAGCCCAGGCCCCAAATCTATTTGTCCACCCTTTACCAAGAACAACAAATACTCGCTGCAGGTGGGTAAGATTTTGCCAAATTGGGTTACTTAGATGCACATTTAAAAATAACGTATACCAGAAAGGGAAGTCATTACAGCAAAATCAAATATTTAATGCAACAAAAGTGAGGTGAAACTACAAATTACATTCTAACCATGATCCAAGGAGACCTATTGTACTGTAATTTTGGGGCAACAAGCTGCCTCAAAATATTAATTTAATTTAGCCCATATCTCCAGAACAGATTGGGGCATTAAATGTTTGGACCCTTGGGCCCCATATCACTCATCATCTGCTGAAAATTTAATTCATGTAGAGACCACCTATTCATCCAAATCAACTCTGATACAAATCACCATAATAGGTACAAAAGCCATTAAAGTCATGGGGCAAACAGTTCAAGATAGGGACAAACTCTGAAAGACAAAAGATTTTAAATGTGTGAAGAGTGAAGGGGGTAAAATATAATTTAAGACACAACAGATCTTATCAGAGCTCATAAATTACAATCTAACAAACATCAGTAGCAGATATAGGATTGAGATGGCAGATGAACTAGAGGCAACAGGTAGACACCAGGGTCCTCTTTTCCAGTCATATTCCTACATTAGCAAGGAAAATCAATGAGAAGCCATAATGCCCTTTACCAAATTTGGAGTAGAAATAACACTCAGGCATCTTGGTCATGTCATATTCATGCAGGAACTCGCACTGGTCTCCCTTCTTGCACAGCCCTCGGAGCCAGTGTTTACAAACAACTGTCTTTTCTCCACTGATGTGTCGAAAAGGACACATGCCTCCTGTGGGTAGAAAGGGGAGAAGTAGGAATGAACGGTTGGAACTTTTAGTGTAAGATGCATCCTGCAAGGCAGTGATAGGCCTTTGACTCGTGGAGAAGCAGTTTCAGAGATCTTTACATTTTCACATGAATTTACCATTTAGTACTGGTGAAAAGTACTGAACGGACACCCTAGAAAGTGAAGTTCTCTGTTTACCCACATAGAAGGCTATGATTTCAATAGCCAGATCCTCTGCATGGCAGTCCATTGCCCACTGACTACCACTACTATTGCCCAAAACCCTGAAAAAGGTTTGTATGTAATCAAGTCAATCCTCATCTTCCTGGGTATCGCTGTTAACACACCACCCACCTTATAGGGATTCCGCCATTGTATCTTTGTACAAGAACCCTAGTACAAAGGGATGTGAAAGATTAACCAATCATATTTAACTGATTCACCAATGAAACAGGATTCAACATCCCTAACCCCTAGTGCATGGAACATGGTCCTTCTCAATCTCCATCTCACCGTCTCTCGCCCCAAAAACTGCAATATAATTAGGGTATCATAAAGCAGAATACTATAATTAACAGACTGCCAATATCCCCATTTCTCCTATTTTTGCTTTTGCTGGAACATAGTATTAGGGATGTCACTTGCCTTTTCCACAGGCAGCTCTTAAAAAAAATTCACAGACAGCAGCACCCGATTCTGTGGAGAAAAACAATTTCACAATGAAGGTTTCTGAAATGCCATAACTGTGTTAGAAGTCTTTTCTTCCACCCACAGATGAGCTAATTCTAGGCATCAAAAGCAGTATTTGGAATCCTATTGACAAAATGCATGTTAATAGAATATATGAACTTTCTTGTGCTGGTCTCTGCCATTTGCCTCTCCAGAATATTTATTACTTTTAAGTCAATTTCACATTTCTGAAAGATCCTATATTGACAGTTCTGGAGACTGAAATCTCATGCAGTAATTATCAACTAAATCAATAGAGTGGTCAGAGGCACATTTCCCCTTGCTGATGCACGCTGACCCTGACTGAGAACAACTGCAGTGCCCAAGCACAGTCAAACACAGGGCCACTAAGCTAGCCAACACACAATTAACTAGGAGTCCCACTACTGGCATCATGTCATCAGAACACAAGGTTTTGAGCATCAGCCACAGACATGTAGTGTAACCAAGGACACATCACTTCACTTCTGCATCCAACAGTTTTCCGCTTCAATATGGTGGGGATACTGATATGGACTTACCTCACAAGACTGTTGTGAGGCTTTCCTAATTTGTTCCCTAGTGTCCCATATCTAGCATTGATGAGATAACCTCTATTTTCCAGCAATAACCATGTGGTTGAAACACCAAATACAAAACACACTGCATTAGGCCACCAATGAGACCAAATCTGCCCAGCATTTGGGGTGGGTAGAGAAGGGGTTAGAAGGAGGAAGGAAGCATTTCCTCATTGCCTTGAGAACTTTCCCCTAGGAAAAAAGATATGGGGTAGAGAAAGGAAGAAGGGAGTTTTCTCTCCTGCAGTGGGGTGGGGTCCCCCCAGGAGAGACGGGTCCCCCTGGGGTGATGAAGGGCATCTTCTCTCCAGCAGAGAGGGTACCCCTGAGAGCGACGGGAGGGGTATCTTCTCCCCAGCAGAGGGGACACCCCTGGGTACGATGTCTCCCCAGCAGAGGGGGTACCCCCAAGGGTGACGTGGAGAAGGTCTCCCCAACAGAGGGGGCACTCACAGGGCAATATCTCCCTCGCAAAGGGGGCACCCACAGAGACGATTAAGGGGGGGTCTCTCCAGCAGAGAGGCACCCCCAAAGGCGATGGGGAGGTGGTGCCTGCGCAGAGGGGGCACCCCCGAGGGTGATGGGGGGGGGGGGCCCCCCAGCAGAGGGGGCATCCCC